TCAAGATGTTTTCGCAAAGAATCCGAGAAAGAAAAGGAACAGGCAGAAAAGAAGCCATCAGTTAGCCTTACCGTGTCACCCTGAAAATAAACCCTGGTCTACATAAGGTGGGTCAGTGAAGCCATCTGACTATTAAGTTTAAGTTTGTTAATTGTAAATCAAATCACAATGGTGTAAAAACTTCTAAGTTTATTTAAGAGAAGTCTTCTTGCCCGACCTTAAATAGCCCCATCTACCTATAATAAGAATTTTGATGCAAATCGGATGTGGTTGAAAAATGAAGAAGAGAATGATTCTTTCATAACTCTGTCTTCTTTGAGAAGAAGCAGAGAACTACTTCATTCTGAATTTTCAATTTTATTTTCTGGTTTAGAAGAAGTTACTCAAAATTTTGGGGCCAACCAAAATAAGCATAAGGAAAGGTGGCTGACCATTTTCCATATCGGTTTTTGCAAACGAAAGAAAATTTATTTCGCAATTATTTATTTTTATCCATATTTTCATATCAGTTTTTGCAAACGAAAGAAAAAATATTTCGCAATTATTTATTTTTATCCACAGAACAGCTGAGTTTTGTGTTGTTATCTAATAGCCACCAGCCAGTCGCTGTTATCGATGAATTAATTTTGCCATTCATACCGGCATTTTATGAAAAACTTGTTATTTCAGCGTTCTCATTGTTATTGTCTATGTGTTTGTTCTCAAACGCTCAATACTTTGCGGACGTATTAGGAAGAGACTCAACCAATTAGGCCTTCTATGGGAAAACTAAGATAGATACGATAAATGGTCGATAATTAAATGTGCTTAAACAACTCTTACGAAAATTCTAATTAAAACAAACTGGCAAAAAGATGATCAACATTTGAAACAAGAAAATATGTTCAAAAACAAGTTAAATAATGTCAATCGATTTTGCCGACAGATGTCTAATCTCCGTTTATATAAACGTACCGGATCGAGTTTAACCAAATGGTAAAATTCGGTTGAATATGAATAAATCTATTTAATTTTGGGCTGATATTACATATATGCTGAGCAATATCCAAGCTACATAAAAATCTGAACCGATCTCGATAAAATTTGGCAGAGGGTATCTGATGCCCGTACCAAACATCATTCTTGTGGAGTGCATATTACGCATGTGAGGGACCTAAAAACCTAAATCGGATGAAACATATATATGGGTGCTATAGGTATATCTGAACCGATTTTCAACCAAATTTAACGTACTTGTATCTAGACTAAATTCGGTCGGATATACCAAAATTCAGGTCATTTGGACTGATATTGTCTATTTGGTGCACAATTGATCCGAAATCGGTTGAAGATATATGCAAGCTATATCCAAATCTGAGCCGAACCTGGACAAATTTTAAAGACTTATTTCAGAGCTGTATCTGATATCTGGTACCAAAGATCATTGTTGTGGAATGCATATTGCTGAAGTTAGCCATTTGGTGCACAAAAATCTTGATATTGGATAAAGATATATATATATATATATATATATATATATATATATATATATATATATATATATATATATATATATATATATATATTCGATATTCGATATCCATAAGTTATCTAGTAGCAAATACTATTCTTTTGGAGTGCATATTACGCGTGTGAGGGACTTTAAACCCCAAATCGGATAAAACATATATGGGAGCTATAGCTATATTTAAACCGATTTCCACCAAATTTGAAGTACTGGTTTCTAGGATGAATTCAGCCGTAACTGCCGAAATTAAGTTCATTTGGAACGACATTAGCCCTTTGTTGCACAATAAACCTGATATCGAATAAATATATGAGAGCTATGTCCTAATTCGAACCCATTTTCTCCAAATTTGATATACTTGCTTCTAGACTAAATTCGGTCGGATGTGCCAAAATGCAGGTCATTTGGACTGATATTGGCCATTTGGTGATATTGACCGAAATCGGTTGAAGATATATTTGGGAGCTATATCAAAATTTAAACCGATTCTCACCAATTTCAATAGGGTTCGGTCTTGGGCCCCAGTATGACCTACATATATCAAATTTTAGACAAATCCGTTGAAAAATGTGGCAAAATACCGATTATCGGGAGGTACCGTTACATGGGTGCTATACCAAAACGTGGACCGACATGTCTCATTTTTAATACCAACCATCCTAGACACAATACAAATACATCCTGGTCTTCAATAAGAAAACCTTCTTCTGGTCTTCTATAAGAAGACCTTCTAGTCTTCTTTAAGAAGACATTCATGCCTTCTATAAGAAGACATTCACGTCTTCAATGAGCTAAATTTAAGGCTGCCGATGGCGAACTACTCCGCGTTTTTACATCATCGCTCTAGACCAGAAATTGAATTATACAAAAATATGAGATAGGGTTACATGACAAAAGCTCCAGAATTTTCCACATTCATATAAGAAGAGAAGGTCATATAAATTATAGTTATTTTGAAAGTAAGATTCTCGAAAAAAAAATACAGTACTGCGTGTTTAAGCTTTGAGCTCTTCTTCTAATGTCGATAAAGTTATGTTATTTATATTGTGGATTATAAGGTGATGCTTATTTTTGCAAATAATAATGGTTTTATTGTTTTGTTGGGGTTGAACTGTTCACAGGACGTTAAGGGACCTTGAATATAAAATTTCGATTATAGTGCAATATTCCTAAGCTATTGCTTTATTATTTTTAGTTTATTGAATTATTTCATATTTATAATATGGTCATAAAATTATATTTTTTATCTCCCTAACCCTTTGCCCTACATGTTGGCTGGACAACCCACCATTCAATATTAATTTATTTCATACAATTAAATTTTATATCTATTATAAGGTATACATTTTTCAAAAAACAGACCTGTCCTCATTGAATGTTGAATGTACTGCAGAATACAAATATACAAAGAATTTACTTTTCATACATCATTTAAATACATTTAGCTTGGAATCAAACAAAAACGAAGAAAAAAGCTCGACGTTATTGTAGAACAATATTACCCATGGCTAAAGAATGTCTGTGCCCCATAAAACAGTAATTGAAAACAGCATTGGTTTACATCATTCCGCATTTGCAGTCAGATAAAATGTAATAAATATATGGAGATTCTTAATTGATTCGAGAGGGTTGTCTTGAGTTTCAAGTGTGGGTGGAAGAAAATTTTCGTTTCTTTTCATTTTTTTTTTGAAAGTGAGGAAAAGCGAAGCCCACACACAAACCAATCTTTAAATAGAAGGCACAACAGAAAAAAATGTATATAATGACCGGCATAATTATAACAGGCGAACGATCAAAGACGTCTGACTGGCAGGCAAGTAACCCAACAAGATAGCTAACCAGCCAGCCAGTCAACCAACCAGTCATTGGCCCGATAAAGCTATAAATATGTTATAGCTAATGTTCATATTATACTAACATACATATTATTATTGTTGTATAAAGGTACGACGAGCGTATCTATACAAACGCTTTGACTCACATAAATAACTACTAAAAAGAAGCCTACATAATATGTAGACAGTACGATGTGGTCGTGAATACCTACATTGAATAATGTACGTACGTACATAACATCGAACAGACGCACCAATAACAAAAATGGAAATTATAACATGTTTTTTTTTTATGTGGAGTTTGCTATCATTTGATTACACAAAGTGAAAAAAAAAAACAAGAAAAACAAAACTCTGGCAAACTTGATTGTTAATAATTTCTCTGCTGACGAAAGTGACGTCACCAAACCTACATGCAAGTGTGAATTAATCTCTGTTTAAATGCACTCTTTTATTGAGTACAAAAGATTCCTCCGGTGTTTAAAGAACAAACTAAAACCTCTTCTATTAACACATTGCCGAATGTTTGCTATTTGAATATTGATACACATTGTTAGAAATGTTCATTGAAATAAGGGTACTTCAAAACAAAATTGTGTGGATGCTTCTTCAACATACAAAACTCGGTGAGTTCTTAGTTGAAAAATGTGCTGGTAGTCTTTGCAATATTTTGTAATGATCATTTTAAATACAATAAGTGGGCGTGATTCTCATTTACTTTGAGAATGCTCGATACTTATGGAGCTTGCTTTTCACCAAAGTTGTCATATCAAAAAGCTGAAAAAGCCAAATGACCATTCCAAAATATTGCAAAAATGTCAGTTTCGTTTTAAAGACCAGTAAGGAAAGCTCAAAAGTCGGGCAGGGCCGACTATATGATACCCTACACCACTATGCATATTTAGTAGAGCTCTCGTAAAAGAAAGGTTTATATTGCAATTTCTGAGCTCTATGAGATATCTGGTACAAAACATCATTATGGTATAGTGCCTATTCCGAAAGTTGGAGATTTAAACACCAAATCGGATGAAACATATATATGGGAGCTATAGCTATATCTGAACCGATTTTCATCAAATTTAAAGTACTTATTTCTATACTAAATTCGGTTCACACCATTTGAACTGATTTGGTGCACACAAGAAACATAAAATCGTATGAAACATATATAAATTTGAAGTACATGCTTGTAGGCTGAATTCGGTAGGAAATGCCAAAATTGACTTCATTTGGACTGATATTAGCCATTTGGGCCACAGTAAACCTGAAATCGGTCGTAGATTTATATGGGAGCTATATCTAAATTTGGACCGATTTTCAACAATTTCAATATGGTTCGTCCTTGAGCCATACAAATGTTATTTGGAAAATTTCATCTCAATCGAATAATAAATGCGACCTGCATTTTGTTTACAAAAATACATGGACAGACGGACGGACATGCATAAATCGACTCAAAATGTGATCCTATGCTGATCACTAAAAGGAACTATGGGTTTATCTCGTTTCCTTCTCCATGTTACAAACATAATACAAACATTTCTTTCTGTAACATAGAGTAATATGAAGTTAAGCCAATGGGGGAATACTCCAGACTTAAGCTATCATTTAATATAAACACTTTAGTAAATCTTCGATAGGTATCAATGTGTACTCACCTTTTCTTTCCACGCTGCCTTCTCGGCTTTCTGTCCTTTTTGTTGTTTCAGCTGTAATAAAAAGAATGACAAATTAAAAATGTATTCCCAAGTAAAATTTGTAATAAAATATATTTTTTTGGCAATGAAAACCAGATCATGGCCTGTGAGATTTTGCTGTCATAATACTATATTGTGATTGGATTACAAATTAAAAAAAGTTTAATGTAAACAAGTAAAATAGTATCAGTCGGTTTTGCAGACAGATGTATACCCCCATCCTTGAGTTATGATTATTCAAACTGTCGACCTTTTATGGGGGGTATCCGAAGTTGGTCAATATTGCCCAATTCGTATCTGACCTAAGACTTATATAAATATATAAACGAGCCAGATTTAGACTATATCGACTACTTCCTAAACTTTATATGAGGAATGTGCAAATTTTTAGAAAATTTGAAATTTACGTGAGGTAACAGGTATAGCGGACCAAAGTATTCCATTTTCATACTTCATCTAATACAGATAAAAATATTGGTATCAAATGATATATACCCTCTCTAGCCATATGGCGTATGATATAAAAATAATATTACTCTTTTAATAACCTAAAGCCAAATTATCAGGAATTTAAAAAAAAAAAAAAAAACTAAAATATGTTTCGGAGACTTGGAAAGGGAGAAACATAAATAGATAGAAAATATGTGTGTGATAGATAGTTTGCCCAGAACTCCTTGCATAAGATCTGGGATAGTTTGCAGATATGTTCCCTCAATCCACAGAGCCACGTCGTCAACATGAGCCATGACTTTAGCCATTACACGCCATTTCCACACATATTAGTTGAGGATTGAACCGGAACAGTGTTGGTAACCCTTGACCTGTCAAAGGTGTTTGATATGGTCAATCATGCCATACTGTTTGAGAACGTGCAGAGAACTACCCTCTGGCCAAGTTTGAAACGTTGGATAATCAACTATATGTGTGGACGCCAGTCGTACGTGGAATTCCAGAAAAAGAAGTCCCGTAGAGTTCCTCAAGGTGGGGTGATATCACCGGAATTGTTCAACATCTACATTTCCGGAATTCCTCGCCCTCCAGACGGCATAGAGATCGTAACGTATGCGGATGATCATGGCGTCGAGCCCAGAACTTGCCGCATACGCAAGGAATATGAAAATATCCACCACGAAATCAACGGACACACTCTTTACGACATGGTCTGCGGAGATGAGAACACAGCTGAATGTGCAGGTCGAGCGGAATTTTATACCGACCACGAACTACCCCAAGATTCTAGGGGTCACATTCGAACGCATGTTCAAGTCATTTGCGCAAGCCACAGATATCTGCAACAAGATGAAAAGTAGGAACAAGGTCCTCAAGGCGCTAGCCGGCAAAACTTGGGGTGCGGACAAGGAAACCATGTTGACCTCTTATAACGCGATAGGTCGATCTGTGGCCACACATGCGGCTCCAGTGTCGTCTGCGAATACAGGTGCTACGTAGTGGTAGCACATACAGACCTGCCAGAATGCTGCAGGACTGCGAGAGAGTTCCTCCTCATCTACACGAGGAGGCGCAAGCCCTTCCTTCAGCATAATCATAAGCTTTCGTTGCAGTATGGGTCTTACCGTGAGAGTCATCCCAACCATCATATGGTGGATACAACTCCCCCACCCAGCCGTGTCAGGAAGGACATACACGATCTAGAGAGATAAGAGAGAACCTCTAGATCAAGAAGCCTATCAACAGGTGGCATTCATACCGGTGCAGTCGCATATGCTATCAGCAGTTACAGGATGAATGCCGTCCTCGGAGTCCACCCCCATCCATTGCAGCTGAAGAACGCCATCTGCCTAGACAGGATAGTGTAGTCGTCTCAATTCGTATTGGGCACGAAAACGATGATATGCGTGACGTCTGCCCGATACAATACGCTGCACCTCTTTAATTGCACAGCCAAATCTACCCAACTCACTACAGAAGATCTCTGGCTACAGTAAATTAGCCGAATTTTTGAACATGTGACTAGAACCAGATTAGCAGAATGCAAACACTCACTGCTACAACAACAACATGAATTTTAGAAAAAAATTAAGCCTTTCGCGAACTCTGAACACATCCGATTATTGCAGTTGGGGATTCGGAAACGAAATTTCCATTTGATAAAATATAGATAAAATTTGAAACAATAGACGAACAAAGAGCAAGGAAGGAGTTTTAATTTGTTTTGTTCATTTGTACGAAATGGTTCTAGCAAAAATGGTTCCTGCAATTGGAAAGATATAATGTCCTCCAATGTTGTCTTGGTATTTATTGCAGGTTCGATTTATAATTTCAAATAACCCCATCTCACCCTGTCCGCAAGGTGTAATTTTGTAACATTAGAACAAAGTAAATATAGTTCCCTCCACCCCTCCATTATCCATCGTAACAGACATATCTCCTCCTTACTTTGGGAAATAAAACACCAAACATTTGCTTACACATTTCGATTAGTTTGTTCGTTCACCTCAGAATGACAAAGTGCACATGGACACACTATGGGCATACAGACGACATACACATACATGTGTGTGTGTATATATGGTGGTTCTCTCACTGGTATGCAGTCCATGTGCAGTGCAGGGGTTAAATGTGTAAAATATGGCAGACAAAACATGGCAACAAAAACACAACAGCACGAACAAGTGCAATACAAATACACAACAGATGACGAATCCTTAAAGAGAAATGGAAAGAAAACAAAATGGCAAAATAAATGAAGAAAACGATAAGAAAGAAGGAAAGCAACTTACAAGACCCGCCGCTACGCACTGCACTACCAATAAGAAGTTTCAATTCCAGCTGACTTAAGTGGGCATGGGCATATGGTCGAATGGAGCGGCCACAACAAAACTCTTATAAGAATTCGCAAAAGATAAGTGACACAAAGAGAAACGAACGATGTGGAAACGGAGACAGACAGTCAATGACGTGACACAGAACAAAAATCAATAAAATGACCTTTACTCTGAGAATGGAGAAAAAAAACATTAGCTATCAAAGGAAAATAGGCTTAAGGGATATTTTATGCCAATGTACACAAGTTTTATTGTTAGTTCTGTTAAAAAAAAGTACCGATTTTTTACTATCGCAACAATATTTTTCAATCATACATTTGCATTTGTTTTTCTAACCATTTAGGCCGTCTGCTGCAGCAACACATTTCATTTTTTATTTTCTTGTATTTTTTCTATTTTTTTTTTTTCTCTTTTTTTGGGTAATGTTTGTTGGTGCCTTTCTGGAATTTACTTAAATTATTTTTAAACACACTCCAAGCCAAGAGGTGACTCCCAAATTATTATTGTCTCACTGCCGCTGCTGCTGCTGGTGTTTTTGTTGGTTGTTGATTCCTCGTCGTTTATTTGCCTATCTTCTTGGTGGTGTTAGCATGTTGACTGACTGAAAGGCTGGATGGCTGGCTGGCTGACTTACTGCCACAGGGAGAAAAGAAAAAGCGAACACAACAGCACAACGCGAATGTTATAATGACGATGATGGCCAAGTAAAAGCCAAACGAAGTTGAAATGGAGAAAAATACAACAATAAAAACACATCACATTATACAGCTAGCTAAAGAGTGCGACGAATGACGAATATGTATGCATGTACAAAAATGAAACCATAACTCATAATTCATTAAATTCAAGAAGAAAGAAAATGACCATTGGAAATGTAGAAAAGATCATGTACTTTGTTCCATGCCATAAAGCAGTTATATTGCCAGCGGTTTTTTTCATTTATTTTCAAGAAAATAGTTTTCGCCGAATTTTTTTTGTTGTGTGTTGTAATGTTTTTTTACAATTGTTGTTGTCTTTTCTTTTTTTTTTGGTTGTTACAATGCTTGATGGCAGAGGCGCACCAGTATCTATGCAGATAAACAGTTGCTAACAAAAGTGTTAAACGCAGGTCTCGAATGCATTGTATATTTTACATAAAAACTCCAATTTCGCCAACTACAAACCAAATACAGAATCCAGAATGAACTAAAGAAAAGAAAAAAAATCCCTAACCAAATAACCTTAACCTAAGCGGAAATCCTTGCGGTCAAAAAAGCCACAGATCTGCTGGTCACGAGGAACACCGAGGTTAGCGGTCCGGTGACTATATACGTCGATAGTCAGGCGGCACAGAAGGCCTTAAATTCCTATACCATTAAGTCTAGGGTTGTTTTGAACTGCAGAAGAGACTTGGAAAACACTGGGCTGTCCATCTAGCTCTGTTGGGTTCCTGGTCATTATAATATTCTAGGCAACGAGACTGCAGACGAATTGGCCAGGCAAGGATCCGAATCAACTACCATTGAAGTAGATAACTCTGTTAAACCACCGCTGTGTCACTTCCTACAGGTTATTCACAGACACTACTCTGAGAGAATCCAACAGAGATGGCTGGACGAAATGGGTTGTACCATTTCCAAAAGAATCTGACCCATACTCTCGGAGAAGAGAACAAAGTCGCTACTGTCATTGTCGAAACCTGATTTAAAACTTGTGGTGGGTATCATCACAGGTCACTGTTAAGTGAGGGCAATGACCTCGAAAAGGGACAGCGATGACATTGACTATTGTAGGATCTGTCAAGATGAAGAAGAACTTCAGACAGTCGAACACTTGCTTTGCCTTTGAAACTAGAAATGCCGATCCAATAAGTGGTCACATGATTGGGTTATTTAAAACTGTTCCGCAGTTATATCGAAATTATTGGTTTTTTGGTATATATACTAAAGATATTCGCCTCTCTGGATCCAAGAAAGATAATAACAAATATTGTAGCATTTTGGAAAGCTTATCGTGTCCAAAATAACTTGGCAAAAATTGGTTTAGTTGGTCCGGCTCTAACCTGGACTTTCTGGTCAAATATCCGGTCCGAAATCTGAGCGCAAATCTGAGCACAAATATCTACCCTGAAAAAACAAAACAATCCAACAGTTTTTACTAAACTAGAGTTAAGTCTTACTTTCAAAACATCAACAGCATCCGTTTCGCTAAATTTATGTTCCTCGTTTCGCTAAATTGAACTATTCCAAGTGCAACTTCCTTGGAAATTACAACGAAAAAATCATAAAATCGTTTTCAAGGCAGTCTACAATACAATTAATATTGTGTAGAGTGTAAAAGTAGAGCATGTGTCCCAATAACTAGTACCAGGGGCAGTGGGTTGAAAAGGTAAGGTTGGTTTAGAATACCACAAATACCGGCAAATAAACTTTCTCCTCAAGTACTTCTCAATACTAAACATTAAACAAATACTAAACAATTTCCAGTTTTTCCTTTTCTCAGAAACCCCAAAAAATATTCAGGTAGTCAAGGCAATATAGGAAGTGTACACTAATTAAAAGAACATGTTCTTATTTGCTGGTCGGCACTGGCTGTATTTCGGGACAAATCTAATGTTTTTTGGTCAGTCATGAAAAAGTCTCACTTATCTTCACCCTTACAAAATCGAAATAATCTTTTACGAATATTTGTATTTATTGAATAAGGACGTATATCCCTTTATAGAAGATATATCCAGTTTTTTTTAATACCTTAAAATGACAAACTTGTCAATTTAGAAAGTTACGATCAAAGTGTATATGTACTTTCTAGACGCTTGAAAGAATATCGTTTATATATGAACATGTGTCCTTTAGATCGGCTTGGCAAGGATATATGATTCTGATCATGTCTCATATACACGGAAAACAAAACTTTCCAAAAACGTCAACTTTTGCCAGTCACTGTGGCACATATGTAGTACATTCACACACACAAGTCTTTTTTCTTCTTTTTTTTGTATAAAAAAGGCTGTTCCGGACAGTTGGAACCACAAAGCAGCAGCGGTGGTGCCATAGGTCTCTGTCATCTTTTTTTTTTTTTTGCTTTTGCTATATTTTGATATAGTCAAGGCTGATATTAAATCGATTTGTTTTTTCCGACATCACTCACAATTTGTCTTCATACAAATTTTCTTTTCCTCAATCTCACTTTAGTTTCGTGTATTTTTTTGCCATATTAATCACCGCATTCTTCTGTTCTCTTACTCTCACCCTCTCTCTATTTCACACACACACTCGCACACAAACTCACTCGCTTAGCCATAATCCTTATTGGTTTCCATTATTACATTATTTTTACATTTTCTTTTTCGGTGTAGATTTTTCCATTGTAGATATTTTGCTTGCAATGTTTTTTCTTTTGCACATACCTGATTGATCGTGCGTTGTAATTTCTTGTTCACCCCCAAGACTCGCCATTTTGTATCCACTTAATTATTTGTATTATATATTTAATATATTTTAATTTCAACGTGAATAAATTCACTTGAAATTTTCTTTCACAATTTTTAGAACTAAATGATAAATGACGAAGACAAGTAATCGTTAGCCACACGATATTTGGTAGCTGACATGTATTTGGTAATTGTTGTATTTTGGATATTCGGTAATTGGTAAAAATGGTGTTTGTCCACCTAATTGTGCGTAAGAGCGTACCGCGTATTTAGGAAAGTCGTGCTATACGTGGCAGGGTTACCAATACTTGTTAGTACCTTTTTTACAAATCTCCCTCAAAGGTATATCAAAATATAAAGACAATCTTTGAAAAGGTGATGTGGAAACATTTATAATCTTATTCGGACCATGCTTTGTCATGTAGTAATGCAGATAATCTCATGCTAACATATGATATATTTATATTCATAATATTCATAATATTTTTTTTTTGACAACAACCACTTTTCAAAATTTAAATTTCTGATACCTCCAACATAAGTTGTGTTCCAGTACTTTTTTAGTAGTAAAACTAGCAGAAGAGAGAACAGTTCGAAATGTCATTCTCATTTAGGTTTGCACAAAAAAATAAGGGAACGGAAAATTAGCAGAAATGCGATAAAATATCAAAATTCCAAAAGTAAACAGCCTAAATCGGACTGGTGAAACCTTACTGAAAAGAGCGCCAACATTTAAAAAATGAGTATTGAAGACGATAAGTTAAAATTAATAATTTATAATAATAATTAATAATCTGATTCCTCATTCAGCCAGTCCTCTTCACTGCTGGAATCATGCAAAAGTGAATACATCAGTTGCTCCATATTTTCTCTTTTTGTTCTTTGCACGACAAATATTAGTTTTTCCTTTAGTTTTCAAGTTGATCATTTTCTTTCTTGAAATGTATCAATAAATTTTTCAACCTTGTTAGCCCTGCCAATTAAATGTCAAATTTACAATATGCACATTTCTGCTCGGCCAAATTCATGTAGCTAAAACAAGCAGAAATGTGCACCACTCAGCGCCATTTTTTCTCGAGAGAGCTGCAAGTTTTGCTAGTTTTTGGAGTACGGGAACGCGTTGTAGCAGAATTAGTGCTAATTAGTACTAAATTGCAGGTTCTGGAACACAACTATAACTGGTGAAAATTTTGTATACTCATAAACCTCACAAAATGCAAAATAATCATTTTATTATTTTCAAACTTTGTACATCCCAGCACGTCTGCATACACGAAATCTGATGTAAAGATGGGATGCACCTCCGTTTGGAAAATTTTACGATGCCTGTCTCAAAAAATATAAGAGTCACAGGCTTGGGACCATCATTTACGGTCTTCTTCGGATTTGGCATGGTACAATGAAATAAAGGTAACCTCATTTCAAATTAGCATTCCCAGCTCTGCATTTTCTGTAATTTTCCTTGTCAAATTTTAATGCATAAAAACAGTTCTCTTATCTGATTCTGAGTGTATGCAATGGATATATGAATAACGATTTTGACAATGAGATGTTGTCAAATGTATACATTTGAAAAAATGTTAAACATATGAGTACATGACATTACCTTTTTGGTTCTACCATGGGATTTGGGAACAATAAAAATCCATTCCGACCAAAAATTGCTTTTTTGCAAAGAAAACATGTTCTTACATTTTCAAATTCAATATTTATGTGGCGTTTCCACTGCACTTGATTCGCTCTCTATTCGTTGTTTGACCCTTAACTATGAAAAAACTACTTAATTCTTCACACAAAATTTCCTGAGCGAACACTCATATTTGTACGTTGTTCAAATCAAATCACTCTCAGAACAACGAAAAAATATGTCCCATCCCTAACAAATGAGAGCATTTATCGAAAAAATAAATTATGACATTTAAAAATTAAAAATAGGAAAATTTAATGAAATTTTAAAATTTTTTGGGAAGACTGAAAATTATGAATGAAAACTACAATGTTGAATGGCGTATGTACATTCAAACGAAAGTACATTTTGTTTTCTCTCTCATCCGAGGTACGCATTTTGTCCACGAGTAGAAATTTTCACAGAAAACTGCAAACAAAAGAGGCAATATTTTCAAAATGTTTGTATTGACAGAAAAAATGTTTGACAAGTGTCTCTCCAGCAGAATTTAAAAATAGAAAAATACAAAAATATATTCAAAATGTCAACATTTACACAAACAGTTGAAAACGTGAATGAAAATTATAAAATTATTGATATAATAAATCTTGGGGAGAAAAACAATCATTTATTCTATTCATATTAGTGAGAATTTAATGTAATTTATTAAAATTCCCATTAAAATCAACAAACAAAATTTTTGAAAAAAGGAATTATTTTACTATGAATTACGAATCGTGCCGTATGAACGGGTTAATTCGTGTACCTAATTCTGAGAGTGAACAACGTTGTTCGGTTTCCAATGGAAACATGTTATTACGTTTTCATTTTTATGTTATTCAAATGGACAATTTTGTAAAAATTTTAAACATTGCATGACATTTGCATTGCATTTCAACAGGATTGCATGACTTTACTATGGTCAGATGTTTAGTTTAAAATATATAAAATATATATACCACTCGTATTGCATTATCATTCATTGAATTATCATTTACTCGATAATTTGTACAAATTTGTACATATTTTTACTGGATGCTTTTCGTTTACGCAAAAGTCTAATATGTGAGTGCGATATGAGAGAGACATTTTGACATTCGAGTTACTTTGAGTTTGCAAATTCTTATTGGAAAAATGTCTTTAATCCAGTAATATCAGGTGTTCAATAACCAGTTGTTTTGTAAGCAACACAAAAATTTTCCCAATCTATTTGAAGGATAAAGGTAGTCACATCGAAACAGTTGCTGGGATATGGTCTGTTCTAGAACTACAAGAAGGTAAACGTTTTTACTACGATAATCGATTCTTCCTTTATGATATCGAAGAAAACTGCAAAACTAGTTGATTTTTGCAGGTACTGGAACAGAGCAACAACAACAGAAACCTGTAAAACCAATTTTGGTATTGAAAATTTTGAATGAAAACTTATTAAAATTTGTAAAAATTGTTTAAAAATACATATTTTAACTACCTCCAATTGGCGTCGTAAAGGAAACACATAAAAATCTACCTTTTTTTTGACAAAACAATTTTTCAGAAATGCAAGAATGTAAAAGTTTTTATTACGATAACCGATTAACCCTTTATGATATCGAAAAAATTGCAAAACTAATAGATTCTTGCAGGTTCTGGAACCGAGCAAATCTGTTTTCACTTTTACTCATAGAAATGAATGTATTTAGTTTAAACGGTATATATGTTTATCGAACAAATCGATTAGAAGAAATCGATTTATGTATCCCTATTTCATTCATCGTTCAGTGCTGTCATTAAACCTCGTCGATTGTGTTGAATGTGGAGAAATTTAGTTTAATTATAGAAATATAGACAATTTTGCAAAGATTGCTGCCTCACTATAGCGGTACATTATCAAAGAAATATACGCGTACATATATCTCGTTAAGAACGGCCGAATATATATCACAGATCCAATGTCGTCGAAACATAATGGTCAAGGCTCGACAACACAAACCTACAAACTTGTTGTTGTAGGCGGCGGAGGGGTGGGCAAGTCTGCAATAACAATACAATTCATACAGGTGAGGGGATAATGAAGATATATATACGCTTTTCTAATCGGAAGTAAAGAGCCATGATCACAATGTGTCTATATTTGGGCGTGTGTGTGTGCGCGTCGAGTGACAATTGTTTGTAGCCAATAAACCCATGTCCATTAACTACTTATTTAATAATTTCATGTTTAATAAGTTCATGCAACAACAGTAAACAAGCGCAACAAGGCGTGTTTTGCCATAATCAAATGATGTGTGATGATGACGATGACGACCAGAGCACGAAGCCGATCGGCTCGCAGTCGGCGTGCAGCCGCCGCCGACTTTTTTTAAGTGATCTGAGCCGCCGCTGATGTATGCGGCTCTCATCGGCTCAAATTTTTAGCCGACTGAGTCGGCTAAGCAGTTGAAAAATATAAATTTATACAGCAAATTTGTATAAATATGTCTTTTAATCTTATCGATAAATTAACATATTATAATGCTCATTATTGGACGATAATTTACATTGCGCACTCGTCTTCGAGAGGCAAAAACGTGTAGGCTATTTATATTAATTATACCCTACACCACATAGTGGTAAGGGTATTATGTCTTTGTAGATTTGTTTTTTTTATCACAAAACCTTTGGCAACCTTTTGTAACTTACGAATTTTAATGGAGTGGCAACCATATTGTTTGCCAAAGATTCGTTGTGTTTTTGCTTGTTCAAAGAATATAATGCAAAATGTGCCAAAGGAATATTAAAAATTATTTTTCCGCTAACCGAAAGGGTCAAACAGTTTTGACTAAATCAGAATCCGATTCAGACGAATCTGTTGATACTGAAATCAATATTTCTCCATATGCAGATGTATCTCAATATGAAGATCTTTTTAAAAAGAAAAATGAATTTAAAAATTTGGCAAAGGTTGTTGTAAATGAAGGTGGTATATCAATATGTTGGAAATATTATGGTGATCTCTATTTTAAAAAGAGGCATATACTTCAAAAATATAAATTTTGCAAATTGTGTTTGGATAAAAAGACCAATTTAAAAAGGTAAAAATTTCTTTTTTCCATTCGCATGTGTGTAATTGTTTATGATTTTAGTTTTGGAAAATCAACATCAACCACAAATTATATGAACCATCTACGACCTGTACATAACTTGGACGTGAAATCTTTAAATAACCTGAAAAGTTCAACAATGACACAAAAATGCATTGAAATCCTCAACAAGTTGTAACAACAAACAACAAAATGCTCGCCGGGTCGCCGAAACGTGCTGTTGGGATTTGCAACCGTTTAAAATTGTTGAAAGGCCAGGATTTAAGAAATTGGTATCTTTCTTAAACCCAAAGGCTATATTCCCCACAGATAGGACAATAGCTACGACGGCTTTAAACGATGTTTATAACATATATTTGGACCACGTAAAAACAAGCCTTAAAGAGTCGCCCAAAAATGTTACACTTGTATTGGATATGTGGTCAGATAAACATAAGCACTTGTCTTACATAAACATAAAAGTGCATTTCTGCCAAAATTTTCAAATGCAAATTGTAACGCTCAAGACAGAGATCTTTCCACGACCTCACACTGGACTAGCAGTTGTAGAAAAAATTGAAGAAGCTTTATGTGAATTTAATCTGTTGGAAAAAAACATATGTGCAGTTACTGATGGTGGAAGCAACATCGTTTCAGCTTTAAAAATTAAAAATATACCAAGATATGGTTGTATGGCTCATGTTTTACACAGATTTTTGATGGAAGATATACTAAACAACAAGTCATTTGAAAATATTAATAACATAATATCAAAATTAAAAAAAAAATGTATGGCAGCTTAATGTATAGCTATGAAGAAATATCAAATATTCAAAATATGGAGGAACAAAACGATATAGTAAAAATATTTACAGAGGTTGAAATAATTTTGGAGAGTTTGGATAGTTGCGAACAATTTCCACATGGAGATGACTATTTTACTGAACAATATGAAGCAACTTTAAACGTCAAGCACCACACCTCTTTGAAAAATTCCGTTGCAACACGTTGGAACTCTCTGCTTGCAATGATTCAAAGCTATACTAATAATATATCCACTATAAATGTAGCATTAGTTAAAGCTAAAAAGGAACTGTTAGTGATTGGGACAATGGAAAAGCAAATTATAACGGAATTTGGCACGTTTTTATAAATTTTTGAGGACGCCACAAAACACCTTCAAGGCCAAGATTATCCGACGATATCTTCGTGTATTTATTTTCAGGAATCCATTATGTCCTCATTGAAGAAAGAAGAAGAAAAAGCGTCTTTTGAACTAACAATCAATTTATGCAATTTCGCTGTGCAAAACTTTACGAAGCGATTCAAAGTATATAGAATGTATGTTGTAGCTGCGCTTATGGACCCATGCCAAAAAAACTGGCCTGTTTTAGATAAATATATACTACAGATTCCCAAACAATCGCCAAACTCCTTGGAACTTGTGCATGATGTTCTGTCTCCAATTTCCAAGGAGAACTTGATTATGGAAGAAATTGAAAAATTAAAGGAAATCGATGACGCATTATTTAATGAGCCATCAACGAGCACTGAACCAAATGCAAAAAAACAGGTATTATGTTTCAATAAATGTAAAGGTAAACTTAACTGACGTATATTTTACTTGCAGAAAATATCAGCTAGTCGTCAAAGAATGTTGGAATTTATAGGACCATCGCCTTCTAATGTACAAAATAACGTAGAGTTAGAAATAAGAAAATATTTGGAAATGAAAGTCGAGGCGGTTGAGCCTCTAGATTGGTGGCGACAGAACAAACAAGTACGTTAAAGATTCACATCTTAAACTTGTTTTAAGCAGGTTACGTTTTGACCATTTACTTTTTATAGATCTTTCCAAATGTTGCTACTGTAGCAAATATGTGCTTTGGAATTCCAGCCACATCAGCATCTTCAGAGCAAGCATTTTCATATACCGGGAATTGTATAAATGCAAAGAGAAGCAGCCTGCATCCGGCAACAGTAAAGAAACAATTGTTTGTTCACGATAACAAGGCAGTCGTCGAACCATTTTTATCAAATTAAAGTATTTTTATTATAATTTTTAATATGCTATAAGCAACAAATGTGCATATAAACTTATATTTTCATTTTTATTTTAAATTAAATGAATTGACAGTTATTAAAACAACCGAAATTATTTGTTCACGTTAAAGTCGTCGGCTGTAGCCGACTTTTAGCCGCCGCCGGCCGTATATTGCTTTAGCCGCCGCCGCCGATTTTCTTTCGGCTGCAGTCGACTTTTAGCCGCCGCCGACTTTTTTATGCTTAGCCGCCGCCGCCGAGAATTTCACATCGGCTTCGCCCTCTGATGACGACTACCATTACGATAGTGGTAGTGATGATGATGATAGTTATGATACATGACCATTGAGTTGCTTGCTGACTCGGTCTGTCTGGTTTGTTTGTTGCTGCTGCTACTGCTACTGTTATTCTATAAAAGTATATAATGGAAATTAGATTTTTGTCATCTGTTGCGCATTATAAAAGTAGAGAAAACAAATGGAAAAGCTAATGTGTGCGTGTGAGTGTGTGTCGAAATCCATGAAAAGACAATAGCAACACCCAAAAGTAAACATACGTTTTAAGATAAAAAGTAAGCATTTCTGATAAATTGCCAAAGAATAACAGTCGTTTTTATTTAATAATTCCATTTGTGGTTGGCGTCATGGTTTGAAATTTTAACAAGTGAATACTATCTTCATGTGTGCGTTTGCAATAACAGAAATAGAAAAAAAAACCACACCTACACAACGGATGCAGTCATCAAAGTTTTCTGGTCGAAAGCATGTAGGGTATGTGTCTACATTTTGATTTGTTCATATATACTTATGCATGTAGAACGTAGGTATGTGAAGTCAATGGCCTACAAAGAAAAGAAAATGTTCTGGACCACATGAATATTATAAAGACCGAAATCTTTGAAGTTTTTATTTAATGTCAAAGTAGTGCAGGGGGAAATATTTTGTGGAGGACTGAGGCTTAACTCTAGTTTAGTAAAAACTCTTCAATTTTTTTTTTAAATTTTTTCCATTGGTAGGTATTTTTACCCTGATCGCGGGAAACAATTTTTTTTCTTGGGGGACGGACCCGGGACCCCAGATTTGTGACCCGAAAGTCCAGGTTCATCATAACCTTTCAAGCGATACCTATATATCTATATATATATATATATATATATATATATATATATATATATATATATATATATATATATATATATATATATATATATATATATATATATATATATATATATATATATATATATATATATATATATATATATATATATATATATATATATATATATAACCCCCAAAAAGTATAAAAAGGGCCCCTTATGGGGATCAACCAAGTTGATGCCAAATTATTGCTAACACTCTTACCTTTCCAAAATGCTACAATTTGTGCTAATACCTTTTCTGGGTCCAGAGATATTCTCTTTTGGGTGCGTTCAACCGACTACGAACAAAGTTTTTTTTTTTTAATTGAGTAGTTGATGTGAGTATATTGTCTATATCAGGTGGATCCGGGTCCGGACTTTCGGGTCAAAAATCTAGGCTCCCGGGTCCGTCCCCCAAAATAGTTTCCCCGGATCAGGGCAAAAATAACTACTTCCGGAATAAAACTATGTATAGAAATACATCACCAAAAAATCTTAATGCATTTAGATATAGCTCCCATATATATGTTTCATCCGATTTGGTGTTTAAGTCCCTCACGTTCGTAATATGCATTCGACAACAATGATATTTAGTACCAGATATCATATAAAGCTCGGAAATATATTTGCCAAATTTCATCGAGTTCGATGTGGATATAGGTTCAGGTTTATTGAGCAAATAATGTCAATATCAGCCCAAAATGGAGTGATTTTCGGGACGTACGTTTCTATTATTAATATAATACTAATATCATGCACTCTATAGCAATCTAATTTGGTATAAAAGATAAAAATGTCTCCGTCAAATTTAGTG